TTTGCAACGCTATCATCCAAATACCTATACCAGTTTTGGAGAAATTTCCACAATTTAATGAGAAAACGTTTTTGGATTTAAGGCTTTTGTACCAGCATGCTAAAGCGAAGACTCGTTTGGTTGAAACAAAATTAACACGTCTGAAATCTGAAGAGGAACAAAATTCTGTTAACGATAGATTATCAGATATTACCGATATCACTGATACGTTTATCAACAGACCTGAAGTCAGACATGAAGTGACCAATAATTGTAAGGATAACTCTATTAACAGTAAATTGTCTGAAATCGATGAGCGTATAAATTATTCGCCATTAAATAAGGAATCAGAAATTGTAAAACAGCAGTCAATAATAAGTATTTCTGATAATGATAGTTTTACTATATCAAATGCCAATATTTCTGAATTGGAATCTAGTTATATGAAAGTACAAACAGATTCATCACCGATCAATAAGATGAATGATAAAAACATTGAGACGAAGGAACAAAAAAGTAATGCTGGTGCGCTTAGTTTAAATTCTCCCCCAGTTCAGAAAAAAAGTGCATTTCAATTAAAAAGGCCGATTAAAGCTACTGTGGATTCTCAAATTTCCAAACAAATAATAGAAACATGGAAAAAGGAAGCAGAATCTAAAACCATTGGCCTTCAATCTTCGATATCCTATTTGAATGCAAACACAAGCTCCAATATTACGCCAAAAAGTAATCGAATTACAATATCCAATATGAAGACAAATGTAGATTTCGATATCACCCCAGAAAGTAATCAAAGTACAACATCCAATTTGAAGACAAATACAAACTTCGATATTACGGAGAAAAGTGAAAAAATGAACATTTATGAAAGTGCATACTTTAAATCAAAGAAAGAAGATCAATTTGAAATTAAAAATAATTATGGTGGCAATTTTGAAATTCCTGTAAGTAAGGAAAACAGAAATAATCACATTGATTGGGATGCAATAAGCACATCTAATACAGGTAATACATTTTTAATCGTATGCAATCGTCTACAATGCAATTAATATATAATTATTTGCATTTTATAGATAATATTTCATACTCCGAAGATATAATCGATTATTTAGAAGATATTGAACAGCTTCCTGCATTGAGTGAAGAGTGCAACATAAAAACTACTGAACCAAGTAAGATTTAATTGAAATCTTAATTCTAATCACGTATTTGCAATTTTTAAAGTGTATTCATATTTATAGATACACAAGCTACATCTATACAAGGTAGTAATCATAGCGAATCTGATAAGGAGAACAAAATAAAGCAGAAAAATGTTCAAGAACCCATTTTCACCGGCAATTATAAAAACGATGGTGCTAGCAATGAATTCACCTCCTTAACGTACCCACATTCACGAGAAATGTTAAAGGTAAAATAATTGATCCTTATTTATTTATCATTAACACCAAAAATAATGTTTTAATATTTTACTCTTCAATTTGTAAGGTATTTAGACAAAAATTTGGATTGTATTCATTTAGACCAAATCAATTGCAAGCGATAAATGCTGCAATTTTGGGATTCGATTGTTTCGTCTTAATGCCAACTGGAGGAGGAAAATCCTTGTGTTACCAATTACCTTCACTTTTGTTACAAGGAGTAACAATTGTAATTTCACCATTGAAAAGTCTTATTCTAGATCAAGTTCAAAAGCTGACATCTCTTGATGTAAGTAATCTATTAGCACTACATTATATGTATATTTAAGAATTATTGTTTATAATTTGGTAACAAACTTTACAGATTCCAGCTGCACACATGTCTGGTGGAATAACAGATTCTCAGGAATGCGCAATATATAAGGAACTTTCAACAATGAATCCAAATCTAAAATTATTATATGTAACTCCAGAAAAAATCAGTGCATCTCAAAAGTTTTGTAGCTTTTTAAAGACATTGTACGAGAGAGAACTGTTAGCAAGATTCGTTATTGACGAGGCCCATTGCGTTAGTCAATGGGGACACGATTTTCGACCCGATTATAAAAGACTTAACATGCTTAGAGATAAATATCCTAAAGTACCAATTATCGCTTTAACTGCCACAGCCACGCCAAGAGTTAGAACTGACATATTGCATCAATTAAAACTTACTACACCTAAGTGGTTTGTATATGATGTTAAATATATTTGTTATAACTAGAATTTTATGCATTTATGAAAGGAATTGAATGTGAACAAAGTATTTTGTGATACACTGTGATACGCATGTAGTGCATGGAAATATCGAAAGTGAATATCTATTGCAATATTTAAGTGATGGAAGAAATGCATCTTTGACTAAAATCCACAGTACAGTTATAATAGGTTTATAACAAGATCTTATCTATTTCGTTCAGGTTCATGTCAAGTTTCAATAGACCTAATTTACGATACAGCCTAATTGCGAAGAAAGGTAAAAATTGTTCGGATGAAGTGATAGCTTTGATAAAAACAAAGTACAAGAAAGAATCAGGTATTGTCTATTGTCTGTCGCGTAAAGAGTGTGACACCTTTGCGGCACAGATGAAAGAAAACGGAATTAAAGCATTAAGTTACCATGCTGGCCATGCAGATAATAAAAGAAGTGAAATTCAAGGCCGATGGATTTCAGAAGAAGTATGTTTTAGATTCAATACTTTTATTTATTTATTTATTTTTAAATTGCATGATATAAATTGTTTTAATAATTAATTTATCATTATCATATATATTTCCGTGCCAGCTTATTCTTTAATAATTATATAAATAAATATGAATTTTAGATTCAAGTTGTGTGCGCGACGATAGCATTTGGAATGGGTATTGACAAACCGAATGTGCGTTTCGTTATACACGCAGTGCTTCCTAAGTCTATAGAAGGTTATTATCAAGAGAGTGGACGCGCTGGCCGCGATGGTGCGAATGCAGACTGTATTTTGTTTTATAATTACGCGGATGTATATAGGATTCGAAAAATGGTGGAACAAGACAATCCTAATCCCAATGTGTTGAGAACTCATATGGACAATTTGTTTAAAATGGTATCGTTTTGTGAAAATAAGACAGACTGTCGTAGACAATTGCAATTGAATTATTTCGGGGAGATATATGACCGACAGCAGTGTGTGGCAAACAAAGCAACATCCTGCGATAACTGCAGATGTAAAGTATGTAAATTAGAAATGCAAACATTCTATTTTTTTACTCAAATTGTATAGGAAGTTAATATGAATTATGTTTAGGATGATTTTAATATGTTTGATGCAACAGAAGATGCAAAACAAATAACGAAAGCTGTGCGGGATATTGTTCAATCCAGAAGTTGCAATCTTACGATGGTGATGCTTACAGATATATTTAAAGGGTGTGATCTCAAGAAACTGAGAGAAGCAGGTATGAAATTTGAATTTTTCTCTTATCATATCTATATTCATTTGATTATATATATATATAATTATTTGCATAGGCCTTACTAAGCATCCTTTGTATGGTCGTGGTAGGTCATGGAATAGAGGTGATATTGAACGTCTGTTACATTACATGGTGCTCAAAGAATATTTGCAAGAGAATATGCATATAACTGTAAATGACTTTGTTTGTGTCTACGTAAAAATTGGGCAAAATGCTGCTGAACTCATG